TGCGATGGAGCAACAAACAAAAAAAAATAAATAAATAAATATCGAAAACAGCAACAAACTAGCGAACGTGGCCAAAACGTCTGACGAACGAGTGAACTAAAAAAATTTTCAAATTTGATGATCGCAATTGTTGCGTTGCTGTCTACTGAAGTATCTACCGAAGTGTCTATCGACAAAAGTATCTACGAAAACATAATTTGTGCGCTGCGTTAACAAATGCAACAAAATGTCAACTAAATAGTGAAGTTTAGTTTGCGCTGTCTTATCAGTGACTCAATTTAAATTAAGTTTTTAATATTTCCATTTTTCGAAGCAAAAAAAAAATATTTCTAAAAATCCATTAAATGCATTTTTATGCAAATTCACGCAAGTTTTTTTAATTAAATATAGTTTTAAATTCATCCATTTGTCCATAATTAAAACTATTTAAATTGTAAAAATTCCATAATTTGCATGTAAAATTATATTTTATTTTAATTTAATTTATTTTTTTTTATTAAAAAAATAGTTAAAATTCACATAAAAAATTTGCACCTTTTTTAATTGCCGCATCTGCTTTCAGCCACTTTTTCTTTTCATATTATTGACAAGAAGAAAAAGAAAAAAAAACTTTTTATTAGTAGAAAAAAAACTTCACTATTGGTTTTAACACAAAAAGATTTTTTAGCACATTTTGTTGTTGGCTTTCATTGTGTTTCTTTGATTCTGGAAGTTTAAACAGAAAACAAAAAGAATAGAAAAACGATTTTTATTAAAACGAACTTCATCCACTTTCGGCTTCGTCCGCTTTTTCAACTCGCCCGTTCGCTAATCGCGTTGAAACTGAGCTCAAAGCGCTTGTGATTTACGCTCTTAACCAAGTTTTCTGCGCTTATGGATTATTAGCTTTGTATGTAAGTGTAGAGTTGCCAGCTTTCGGTCTTAATAATGCAACTCTAACATATAATATTTAATTATATTGAATTTATGAAGTTATTTATGGGTTTAAAACAAATTGTTAAATAAAAAAAATAATAATAATAAATATTTAATAGTTTTTTTGTTGTAGTTTTGTTTTGGCAATTCTGTATTTGTCAACTATATACTAAACTATATACTTCTATATACCAAAAATCATATCTTCGTGTCTTCGTGTGTTGTTGCTCTGTTTTAGACTATGGAGCCTTTTTCCATGTCTTCTTATGCTGCCACTCTGACTTGGAATATGGAGCATTTCTATCATAAGTTTTTTTTTTGTGATGCTATTGTCCCTATCTAATAGTGGTATGTTGCCATTGCCTTCTTTAGACCAGTTTACTTACTAAAAGTCGCTAGTTAAAATTGGAAATTAGACCTAAAACAGTTTAGTTGTCGAAATTATATTTCGTAAATAAGAGAAAAACATGTCACCATTAACAACTATGCGTTTGATGTTATGAAAAACTTTCTTTATTTGGGAACCAACATAAAAATTACTTCGGAAAGCATTACTTTGGGTTAATTAGGTAATTGAGAAATAAAGACTATTCTCAACAAACAAATATCACACTCTGTGAAGGTGATATTACACATGAAACCTAGTTGTTGATTTGGTGCGTTGAAATGCGAAATTTGTGCCAAGTCTCATGTTTAATAGCAACATATGCAGATCACTGAGTATCGAATTAAATAGAACGTTGAGCTATATGAGCTACAACCTCACATTGTTATAGAGTTAAGAGCACAAAAACATATCGGTTTCGTTTGCTTGGTCGTGTTGTATGTATTGAAGAAAATGTTGCGACTAAGATGTGATTAATTTGAAACCCATTGATAGAAAATGTGGTAGAGGATGTTTAAATGTTCAAGGTAGATAACCAATCATATAAAGGCAGTCGGTACTACCAACTGATGGCAAGCCGCTAATCAGACTGGCAGACTGGCTGCAGAAGAGTACTGGATGTGGGCAAGTACGATTGAAGTAAGTACGAATACTTTAAGTAAATAAGTATTAACCATTAGCATTTTAAAATTGAATAGATTTCATTAATAACAATTATAAATTATCATTTAAAAAATATTATATTGTATTTAAGTTGTTATTAACAATTATTAATGTACAGTAGGGATTTAATGGTAAGTTTTTACAAAAACTGCTTACAGTAATGCATTTGCTATACCATTGGCTGCTTGGTTGCTATGGTAAGGTGGTTAAAATGGCAACTTTTCGAAAGTCTAATTAACGCTTTTGGACCATTTTGCTTCCAATTCCTCGTTATCAACTTGTATCGAGGCAGAACTGTTAGATCTAGACTGTATAGTTTAAGAATTTTTTAAGTTCGCTAATATTAATTTTTACTAGCTCTCTAAGATTTTCCAAAAGCAGATCTCTGTCTGGTTACAAGTAATAGTAAATATGTAAAGAGATTCGCAATTTGTCTGGAAAATTTATTTTATACCTGCTGCTTAAATTTTAGTGGGTAAAACTTTAGGGATTAGTGCCGTCAGTCTAGAGAGATTCCATTAATTCCTGTTAATTAGCAATAATGTTTGTTTAAGATGTAACCAGCTCATAGTATTTTACTAGTCTTATATGTTCTAATGTTCTTCCATCTACAATTCTCTATTTGGACCATGTGGTGTTAATGGAACGTTTAATCACACTAAGTGATTATACGTCATTAAACATCATTTTTGCAAGAGTTTCTTATATGTCAGGTACTCTTATGGATCTGTTATATACACCAGAAATAAACGATATTTTTTTAACACATTGGCAAGTAAAAATGCGTAGTAAGGCAGTCTAAGGAATATACTTAACCAGGTGAACAATCTTTGATGTAAGTCGCAATGCTATGAAGTCGGTACAAAAGATTATGCTTACCAGCATGAGTACACTTGTACCCAGAGTTGGTAACTCTAAACACACCTCTTGGTAACAGGTTGCATTTGTTTGTTGTCTGTTTTGTTTGTTGTAAGTCTGCAGTCTAAACAATAAAAATTCTCTCACGCTCTCATGCATTTGAATTCTTCTACGTATATTTTGACGGCGCATGGCGATTGCGTGTGCGTATTTGCGTTCCATAACTGCAATACTTATTTCGCTAGTATAAGTGATTGACCCAATCCATCGATCAGCTGTTTCGAATGATCAAGACAGCGATAAAAAGCTCAGCTTATAAGAGACTGAAGACTCAGCAAAAAGCTAATAAAGCTATTTATTAATTTTTTTTTAATAGTTTGCTTTTGTGCGAATAAATATTTTTTTAATTTTAATGAAATATATAAAAAATTGGAATTTAATATTAAATAATTCGGTTTTGTTTAACTTTTATATAAATATTTTAAATTTTATAATATATATATACATAACAATTATATATTTCATATAAAATTTCCATGAATTTTTGTGTATCGGACCGATAAGACCAATACACAAAAATGCAATGGTAACTGGGAGATTATTCATTTTAAGTCATAGGAATTCCGAAAAGGAGATCGATCAAATAATATATTGTACAGAATATAAAAACAATGGAAATTAATTATTAAATTAAAGTAGAAAAAAGAAAAAATTAGCAAAGCAGACAGTATAGTTCTCCTTTGAGTTAGACAAGTCTTCTATATAGGCACCAAACTATACTATAATATAAATAAATATAAGAAATATACAACAATCGATAAATTAGAAATTTTTTACAATTTAAATAATCATCAAGTTTTCTATATAGTTGTTGAGTCCTGACTTCTTCAAATAAAATTGTATCCGTAATAAAATATATAAGGTTATGTTTTCGATAAACAACAAATTATATATGTAAAATAAAATTTAAGTATTTTTACTTAAATTACAATGGCTACAATTTTCGATGTTCCTGATCTATTACAGATAAAATAATCTGAAATATTCTTGATATTTCATTTCTGAATAATGAAATATCAAAAGATTATGTACTTGAATATATAAAGAATACACTACTTATATAAAAGTAGAATTGAAGGCGTTTAAATTAAAAAAAATCAATGTCTGCATATCTCGACATTTCTGATCTATAAACCGGTAAGCAAGTAAATATTGTATTAAATGAATTCTTGAATTAATCGAAAATCTGTGTCAGGAACCAACAACTTTTAATCATCGCAGTTCTTTGGAACTATGTAATGGTTGAATTATCAGTATATAATTTCCTTTCGAAAAAGTTTTTCGGTATTACCGGTATTTCCAGAAATAGAAAACACATATCACATAAGTGATAATTAATGATAATGACAAGATATTGTTTCTTAACTTACTGCAAAGAACGGTGGATTATTTTTCGATGACTATAGTTCTTAAAAACTATATTTGTGATCCGAACGGCAACCCATCTTAGTTGAGATACATTTTTTTGTATTTGGAGTAACATCAAGAACTTTATTAAAGTATTTTGTGATCTTCTAAACTAATGATTTATATATATTTTATATTGTTTGACTTTTTATAGTTCAACTAACAGAATATTTTCGAATTAGTAGTGTTACCCCATGCACCTGCACCACGTCCATGCTTTCTGGATTAGATAAACCTAGTTCTTTAGGTATTAAGCCTCTTGCTCATATCTTTAACCCCTAATTACTGGAATGAAGTTTCATTGCTGTAGTATTCTTCTCCATTAATTTCTAATGGTTTTAGTGGGTTTCAGTCTCACACTGTGAGTTTCGATGCTTTACGCCTACTTCAAAAAAAAAAAATTGCTAGCACAAAACAAGTTCCCCAGTTATTGAATATTGACTGAATATTGACTTTACTATCTTCAGTTTATAGGATGATCTATCTGAATAATCGTATGAAAAGTTATACAAAATACAACATAAAAATAGGATTTTTGAGTAGATCAATCTCCTTTTGATAAGCAGGTGCTACAAAAGATTAACCACAAATGATTACAAATGGGTGTTGAGAGGTCACCGTAGTCGTCGATTACCATAGAGGTCTTCAGTGAAATAATTATAAATTAAAATAAAAATAAAAAAAAATTATAATAATTAAAATGAAATGGAATTTATATTTTATTTGCAGTTGTTTTTCGATAACGAAGACCATGCTCCATAAAAGTAAATGGTGGACTCGGTTGCGTTACACAGAAGTACACGCCTGCAGCATTCTGTGGATAAGTTATGCCGATAGCCAGTGTGTTGTTATATTCACAATTTTTTCTACGGAACTGTGCCCAAGTATCACACTTGACTGCTGGAATCATAACGCCTTCAACTAGTGCCTCCATGAAGAGAATAAAAGAGTACATATGACTACAAATGTTTGTCTCACATCCAGGTTGATATTTGCGTCGTGGAAAGAAACCAATGCCGTTAGGGTAAATATCTAAAAAAAAACATTTTGTGGTAAAAGTAAATAATTTCAAGCTTTGCTTTATTGTTGAATATATTAATTTTAGGTTTGTTACTAACCAATGGTACCGCTAGCTGCACGTACGCCGAACACATCACCTTCGCCGTGAATGACAACAACACGTTTACAGGCATTTGCATTTACATGTATATCCCTCGGACTGCACATAAGTGCTGGATCAATAGCAATCACTTGATTCAAATCTTTCCCGTCTATTTTCTTCTGAGCATACAACTTAGCACTCAGCGCCGCTATATTCGCACCAACAGAATGTCCTGCTAGCGTAATGGTGCTGGGCGAAATGCCATTCGTTATGAGAAGTGCCAGAATTCTGGTGACGAAAGTTGCCAATATGTGAACGTGATGTTTAACTGAGAAGTACAGTTGCATCACATCCTGCGCGAAATCTACAATAATCACATTCAAATCACGTCTAGTGGTTTGGAGGTGTTTAAGGTGAGATTGCACACTGAATAAACTATCGGGTGTGTAATAGCCATTCACATAGACGAGTGTCTTTCGTATGGGATTGATATCGAAGTCTCGAAGTTCTGAGAGTGATTTAATTGGTAGTTCAATGCTTTGGTTGTTCAATGTCATGACGTAAATCAAACCGTCACTGGGATTAACGCCATTAAAAAGTGACATGACACTTTCATCGACCGGGGCGTTGCCTAATAGAAATAAAAATATTTAATTGTGGCTTAAAATTAATAAATAAATTTTTCAAACTTACAAAAGCTATTCCAGCCTTCCGACAATGTTTCTTGTAAAATTTCTAAATTCATTTTTTGTATTTGCTCTACGGAATGGTAGGTATTGTTGGCTCGAGTTTTAGAGGTTCGTATGATTAATACCAGCATAAAACCCCATATGGCGTAAATATTCCGTTGATAAAACATATTTGATTTGATTAATTGTCTTTAAAGCTTCTCTAAATTAAATGTTATACTTTTCTTTACTTGCAATTGTTTTTATATGAATTTTCATAAAAAATTAAAGAATTTTTCTTATCGGCGAATAAAGCATTTTTGTCGGTAGAAATTTTATCTTCACCTACGAATTGTAGTTACATTTCGAATCACGTTTTGGGTGTTCAGTTCTTTCGGAACTCAAAAATTTTATTTCATTTGTTGTGGGCTTCTTTAGCTGTTCCGATATCTGTGGATGAGTAATGCCGCGCACGTCTGGCACACTTCTCTTATCAACAATTTGCGTAGCAAGAAATATATTTATGTATATATAATTTTAATTCAGAAAGAATTAACGATTACTTTAGTAGATTTAAATTTAGTAGGAACTATTTTTTGATGTTTTTTTTTAAATAAATTTCGGCATTATTTTGGTGATTTATTAATAAATAATCACCAATTAAAAATTAAGTATAAAACTGTATTTATAAATAAGTTTTCAGTGATAATCATTCTTTCAATTCATTCAATTCGAAATATTCTAAAAGATATGCCGGTATTTGAACGGTCTCAAAATATTCGGTATATAAATAATCTAATATAAAAATAATTTTTAAAAATATTTAATTAGATTTATTATAAAGTGATAATAACTTACTATAAATATATATATTAATAAAAACAAATACGTTTTTTTAATATAACATATAGAGATTACTTACGCTGCGTATTTATAATAGATTATTTTGACCGGTAAAAACTTAAACGCCGTAAGTGAAGAATTTTTTGTTTTGTGAAAAAGATTTTTAAGAGATATAATATAATACAATTCGAGGAACAGTTTTACAGATACAGATCTAGAGATGGCTTTATTAAGTTTTAATTTAAAAAAGTGTAACGACATATAACAGTTCACTAGCCTTTTTACTGAAGTCACAATGGAAACTATAACTATGCGGTATAAATTTTTGTACCAATTGGGTCTTGCAAGAAAGCAAGTCAAGAACCTTGTACAGTGTCAATAGGCACAGACTAAGTTTTTGTGAATGTGGCCAATGTGGTAAATAAGAGTATTTTTAGACACTTACCCCAAAATCGACGAAAGTATCGCCGGTGCGCTGTCTGATTATACTTGACTATACTTGAAAGTATGTGGCAAAACCTTTTAGTAGGGTTTCGACTAAATTGGGTGATTAAGATGAGTGGAAAATTAACAAAATATTTTTATTAAGTATTGAGTTTAAAAACATTCTTCCAAATAGAGTTCTTCTATAGCTTCTTTGTAGTCATAAGAAGCATAGCTTTCGGCAAAAATAATTAACTTTAAAAAATATATTTTCACAATAAACCCTGCTAAGGCGTAAGTCTTGGAATAATAATTTTTCAAGGAATAATATATGTAAACAAACTTTCATCTTCATTTTTTTAAATAGAAAGAATATAGTGAAGAGAATAAAATCAAATTTTTGTTTATATTAAAATTTCAATTAATTGCTTAATGAGTTTTATTAAACTCTATGACGATAAAAAAACATCTTATAGCTTTTAAATGAACTCTTATCCTGTGTATTTCATTGTCTTTGATACCGATTTTTCATCACAAATTAATTTCATATATGTGACTTTTCGTAGTACAAGAACGTTTCCGTCTCAGAAAACATTCGACGTTTCTTCCTTTTCAAAAAGGATAATTCTACATGTCCTCAGCGAGAAAGTGTGGAATTGTTAACCAAAAATAAATCTCATTGATTGACAAGCTTTAACTTGTAATCATCTGTAGGTTCCGATACCACCGCTATGAGATATCCAATAGATAGCTTACTTCAAAGAAATTAAAGGAGTTCCCTCCAAAAAATATTGCAGGATTTGTCAAGATAAAGAGCAAGAAGCAACACTAGAGTACTTAATCTGTAGCTGTCTTATTCTAGAATATCAAGCGTTATCCAATTGATAGTTTACTTTAAAGAAATTAAGGGAGTTCATTCCAACAAATATTGCAGAATTTGTGAAGATAAAGAAGAAGAAGCAACACTGGAGTACTTAATCTGTAGCTGCCTTATTCTAGAATATCAAGCGTTAGCATTAAAAACATTTTGCGCTTTATAAAGTTAAGGTCAAGTGGTTGTATTCTTATGAAGCTATAAAACCAATTAAGTTGGTTATCTAAAATGAACCCATTATTAACCTGACTTCAACTTAAACATTTTTAATAACTGAACCAGAAAACCTTCTAGTAATATTTCTGTGTAATATAGCTGTGTTTTAAGAAAGTATTTGACAAAAGTCTACAAATGCGTAGAAATGGTTTGTGACTTTACTGTATAGTACAAGCGACATCTAGTGTGTAAATCAAACCATTTTAATTTCGTTAAAATTTAGTGTAGCTGCAAATAATATAATTCAATCCATACTGTACGAATTTCTTTATGAGGTATTAATTTGGAAATAATGTAAATGATTAAATTTATTTAAGTTTAATGCCTACAGAACTGCTCCAGATTTTAAATAAAAAAATAATATATAATGTAAGAAAGTTTCAAAATATATTAGGAAAAATTTTATAGCCGTAAGTCTCAATATTGACTTAAGTTATGCTTAAGTTACCAACTTTACTGACTTAATTCATACTCAAGACAGTTTTACGGCTTAAGTTTAATGGGTTCTTCATTTATTTAAGGTAATATTTTTATTTAAGGTAATATATACATCTCTTAAAAGTTTTCAAATAAAAAAATTTGATATCCAAAATATTTCATACTGTACTGTATAGCAAAGTCAATAATCCTTACAATCTTTAATTATCCATGATGAATTTATTCTAAAGTGAATTGCTACTGTAATTTATATGGTAAGAGTGCCAATGAAAACATAGATTTCACAATTCTGGAGATGTAAATTCATTAACGATCTTAGCTCTTCCCCTCTGTAGGCAATGTGAGTGTTAAGATTGCGAATTAGTTTTAGCTCAAATAGTGTGGAAAGTCTATCCTGCGGATTTGGAGATGTCGGTAAGTCAACAATTTTATTATAGTTGCTCCATTTTTCACGGTATGTTAGTGTGTTAGTTAGAGATTTCGGCAAATACCTATTTTCGACCTTTTTTCTATATATGATGTGAGTGTAGAGATAAAAGACTATTTTTGTTTAAAATCGGTTTCGCGATTCTGGAGAACTCAGTTAAAGAATTATTTAAGATCTTCCGTCCTATATGTAAATGTGCATCTCTATATGTAAAATGACCTCATCACGGTTCTAGATATTGTGGTTATGTGTTACCAGTGTTAAGATCATAGATACTTTTCCTCTTAAATGATGATAAAAATTTATTTCATAATTCTTCAAATGTTGCTTAAATAACTATTTTATCTTTTCTTTTTTATAGGTTAATGTGAAGATCATGGAATAAATTGTGTAAAAAAACTAGCTCGTGGCTTTGGAGATTTCAGCATATACCGATTTTCGGTTTTCTTTTCTATATATGATGTAAGTGAAAAGATAAAAGATTATTATTTGTTCAAATAATGAAAAATTTTGCCTCAAGATTTTGGAAATTTCAGCTTTTCTTCTGGCCATTTTGGGTAAAGATCATGATGTAAGAAAACGATGTAGTGGTTCTAGATATTTCGGCTGTGTATTGTCAGTGTAAAATTCACAGAATATTTTTTTGCTCAAATGATGAAATTAATATGGCTCGTAGCTCTGTAGATCAATGCCTATGGGCCTACTATATCTGTATAAGAAACACAAACTCGTTTTGTTTTTATGAAGTCAATGCAGTTAAAACCAAATGAAAGGTGATACGAAGTTCTATATATCGCTCAAAAATATCAAGAATTGGTTTCCATTTATTTTTATGAACACTTATTTTTCTATAGAGTATATTTATAAAGTCAGCATATCTTTATGAAACAGACATTAACATTAAATTAGAACATGGTGTACTAGAATAGGCTATATTACACGGTGTTTTAGTGTTTAAAATCACACGTTATATAGTATAGATCATTTTCTATAACAGCCATAAATTGAGTATTTATGACTCAATACATATAATTTATATATTTATAATTTTATCAAGTCCTTCATCAACTTACCAATAGACAAGTGCGCTTAAGTAAATACATCCACTTATATACATTATACCTGAGTTGTTTTTATTTAATATTTACTGTTTTCATTTATTTTCATTAATTTAGATTCAAGTGCTGATAATTAATTATATAGACATTACATAACAATATTTTTTGTTAATAAATTTTTTTTTTGTGCATTAAAAATTTTACAAAGCAAATCGTGTCAGAAGATAGGATCTCACATTTTAAGAAATTAACTACATAATTTTATCTAATTGATACTTATAATTTTAGTTTATATGTAATATGTTTAATTAAATTTTTACTAAATTATTAACTACTTTAATTAATTACTGTACTGTACGACAGACATACAAACTGTGCATACGAGTATGTGACTTGTGTCTAAAATTACGCTAATGAGGTAGAGGCGGTCGTTCCGTAGTACTCCGAGAATTGCATTTCTTACCGAAAAACATCTCCAGAATACACAAAAATTATTTTTACTAAATTTTGTACCAATTTGTACTTGAAAATTTGTTTATAAATAAATAAATTAATTTTAATTAAAATAAAACAGAAATTGTTTGCATTTGTTTAAAAATAAAATATTTATTATTTATTTTTTTAATTGTTAGTTGTAAATATTGAGGAACACAAAATATTAAACACAAACAATTTTTTTAAATAAATAAAAACTTAAATTAAATTTTACTAAGAAAAGATTTTACTAAATTATGAGAGAAATCAATTAAATTAAATTATAAATACTTTTTACATTTTTAATTAAAATTTATTTCACTGTTTCAACTTTAATTTCTTAACAAACTAAGGACATGCAAATCTAGCACGTTTGTGTGTAAATTGAAATAAATTTTAAACCAATTTTATTTTTACTTTATAAGGATTCTTTAGTTGTGAAATTTATTACTCTTAAAACTTAAAATTGAAGTCCATTTTGTACTTCGGACATAATATTGGCCGATTTCTGCAATTGGTCGACTTCAGTTTGAGTCAAAATTTGCTTGACAATAGAAGTAACACCATTGGAGTTCAAGACACAAGGTAAGGACAAGAAGACATCCTTATCAATGCCATGTTCGCCCTGCAAAGCATAAAAATATATTTATTATTAAACACCCAGATCAGTAAAAAGTCATAGTCAAAACTTACCATAACAGAAGTGGATACAGCGACAACACTGCTGCTATTTCTTAGGATTGAAGAAGCCAATGCAGCGACACTCAAACCAATAGCCCATGAGGTATAACCCTTCAACCTGATAACTTCATAGGCCGAGTCAACAACTTGTTTGTGTACTTCATTCCACTTCTCTGGATCTTCAACACTACCAATATTGGGGTTCAATTCACGCAAGCGTACACCAGCAATGTTAACACCGGACCAGACTGGCACTGAGCTATCACCGTGCTCACCAATAATCCAGCCGTGGCAAGATGTGGGTGCAACATTTAAACGTTGTGACATTAAGAAACGGAAACGAGATGAATCCAAATTGGTGCCACTGCCAATGACACGATTCTTTGGCAAGCCAGACAATTTCCAGGCAACATAAGTCATAATATCGACGGGATTTGAGACCATCATCAAAATGGTGTCAGGGCTGTATTCAACCAACTTTGGAATGATATTCTTCAAAATATCTGTGTTACGTTGCACCAATGAGAGACGTGATTCGCCCTCCTTTTGACGTACACCAGCGGTTACAATGCACAAACGTGAACCAACCGATGCAGCAAAGTCAGTGCTGGCGGTGATTTTTGGATTCTTCAAGAAATTGGATCCGTGTTGTAAATCCAACATTTCACCCATAAGTTTATCGGCGAAGACATCCATAAGACAAATTTCGTTTGAGACATTTTGTGCGAGAATACTGAAGGCGCAAGCCATGCCTACTTGACCGATGCCAACAATGGTGATTTTATTGCCACTTGAAGGCAAGACTTCGGCAACTTGCGACATAAGATTATCCTTAACGGAAGCCATTGTATTTATTTAGCTGTAAAGATAATTAGGAGAAATGTTAATTAAAATTTATGTACGTAAATTATTAATTTATAATGTTTTATTAAATTAAAATAAATTTATTTTATATTGAAAATTGCATTTAATTTTATGTTTTTGATAAAATCTTCATCTTTGACTTGCAGCAAACACTCAGATCTACGTAGGTTTCTAGATAGGCGTAGTGAGTTGTGAAATAATCCTGAATGATAGGAGTTGTTACTCGACATATAAGGGCTCTTAACTCAACAGTATTTCCACCTCCTTGGGTATATAAAAAGCAACTAGACTAAACAACCCACTAGGGATTGCGCGGGGATTTAAAACACCATGATAGCACTATTGAGAAGTAATAAGACTAAAGACGGTTGAGAGAAGACTTAATAAGAAAGTTTATTTTTCCATTGTATTTTGTTTTTTTATGCAATAATTTTCATTCTCATTTTGTTAGATAAGGTTAGGTAAAGTGAAGGGAGGTACGAGTACTCTTCAATAAGCTGAAAAGCCGTTTTAATTCCATAATTCTTCGTTATGGCGGGTAAGAGAATGGTTATGCTAGAGCCAATCGGAAGCGTTGATATATATGAATATTTGGCCAATGCTAATGCTAGAAACATCGTCGAATATGTTGAAGAGTGAGGCACCTAATAGTTTAAGCGTGGTTCTAGATAAATCCGGACATAAACACTATAGCATAAACACTCTAGGGGCGCCGCCTGACAGTTTCACTGGGGATACTACAGAGAAGGCCGAGTTTGGACTCTGCCGTCGTATAGTCAAGTATTGAGTTAGAGCAGATATTAACCTAGAAACTTCCTATTTTCTAAAGACTTGTTTTATTTATTTTGTTAATGTTGGCGTTTTTTTTCAACATTTTTTACAAAAGTATAAGAAACTTTTTTGAAGAAAGTAAGAAAGTACCCAAGTTAAGCATCGACTCGTCTTAAATATCTAGCACTTAGCCAAGTCATTTGTTGCCATCATTCCAATATCGGAGCTTATGTCTACTATCATGTCATATCAGCTATCATCGTTGAAATGTTTGTATGTATATATGTGCATGAATGCAGGTAAGTAAATATTAATGTTAGTTTTGAAATATATTTCTTTTTTAAAGTTTTTATTAAAAATTGCATTTAAAACTATTACTATAAATATATATACTCGTATTATTAACCAATTATTAAAGGTAATAAACAAGTTTTTTAGATTATATGAATTACTTTTTTAAATAATATGCAGTAATTTATAACTTCCCAGAATAATTATAGTTCAATAAACATTTTCTATTCATTATCTATTCTATTCATGAAGGATAGTAAATTCTATTGCACTCTTCAAAAAGTGAAGAAATATGTCTGCCATACTTTCGCAGGATGGCATAGCTTTCATTCTAAGTACCTCGTAAAGCGTCAAATAAAATATAAGTATTGACTATAATGACTCACTTTTATATCTATTAATAAAATTTTTTATAAAAAATATCTATGAAGTCTTATAGAGGAATAATCGATCCACTAATTTTCACACAGTTGACATGCAGCACGTGTAGCTGACAAAACTAAATCCCCATAATTGGCTTATTAAATAACAAAAAAACTTTGAAAAATTCATAAGTGCGTGGATTTGATGATGGTTTAGTTTATTTAGAAATGCCGCTATAACCTTCATGAAGGTCAATTTAATACACGCATTTCAGATACACAGAACATTAGAAAAATAAAATAAAATACAGAAATATTTTTATGATTTTTTTTTTATTTTTGGGGTTTTTTTTTTTACTTAGTATGCATGATGTACTAATTTCACTCTAAACAAATTTTGTTGCGGTCTAACGTATCCAAAATTATTAGACGGAACAATATGTGGAAGCACTTAACACGTTACAATTTAGGAGATGATTTCCACTTACTCAGATACTTAGTCTATTGAAGCAATAGCACGAATCGCTGATTGTGCTGAATTCACTGAATGAAGTAAGTTTATTTAATGACCCGTGGACCGAACACAGCTTCCATGTTAGCATGTGACTTTGTCACAACACTTTTTAGATATTTTTGTTGAAATTTTTTGTTTTCTTGATAAATTTTGATTAAAACTACTTTTTAGCTATTTTTTACGCAATTCTGTAGATATTTTTAGTGAGGCGTTGTGGGTGAAAATATTTTGGAGCAGCTGCATGAATGGTACGCGTGTTGTTTTATTATTAATAATTTTTCAACATAAATGAATATCTCAATGATATAAGCAATTGTTCTATTTACTGATAAAAATATAATCGATGTCATAATTGACTTAATTTTATTATCATTTAATCGTTTTTAGCTTATGTGTTTACCATCGAAATATTAGTACTTGTGAATGCAATTTATTTATTGCTTTAATCTATTACAAGTCCTATCATAATAAAAGTTAATGTCTTCTCATAAAAATAATGAAATAATGAAAAATAAGCTTCTATAACCTTCACACATATAGTTTTTTTTTTGAAATCATTTACTTCTATCAAAAATTTATTGGCAGTTAATAATTTTCTTGAAGAATATTTTCGAATTTATCGCTCATCAAGAAAACCCTGGAGTATCTTCTGTATTTCTTTCCGGCTTTCTCGAAAACTAAAATAAAATTTTTTAATTTTCAGGGACTAAATTTCATCCCAGATGTTGGAGAAAACTATCTGTTAATTATCTCTAACCTTATTGATGCTTAATAATTTTCCTTTTCGAACTTATCGGTCATTAAGTAAACCTATCTCTTCTATTTATTCTCGACTCTCTCAAAAACTCAAATAAAATTTTTTAGATCTATCAGTTTTAGATCTATCAATTTGAATGAACTGAATTTTATCCGAGATTTTGGAGAAAACTGGAACCTTAATTTATTGATTTGTAGTAAAACTTTATTAATACTTGATAATTTTCTTGAAGAATATTTTTGAATTTATCGGTCATCAAGAAAACTCTAGAGCATCTTCTCTGCCAAAAACTCAAATAAAATTCATTACAGTTAACAGTTTTAAGGGTCTGAAGAAATGGTCATAATGAACTATTTCTTATGACACATACATCGTGAACAATACATTCCACCATTAAATGCTTTGAACAACCTTAAACTGCTGCTGATACAGACCTATTAGGTCTATATAATTTAAAGTCTTGATTTGACAGAAGTTCAAAATTTCTTATCCAATGTGCCACAAAACATCATTCCATTTGCTATGTATCAAGTAAACTACTGATATTCAATTACATAAAATACAGACAGATTAGACAATCATAAGGACATCCCAAATTGATTTATATAACTACGTTAATTAAAAATATTTTATTATTGGTTAAAGCAATCTTTGACGTCTCATGCTTTGATATCTCACGCATTGACATGTTGACTAACCTTTATATCAGTGTCACGTTAATACTAGATACAAAGGAGATTGTTGCCTTAAGGTATCATAAAAACAAAGAAATGTGAAAAAATAGAAAAATTACAAGAAAAAATGTGTACTTTAAGGAACGTTCACCTGGCACATTGGTAATAAAAGCAATATAAAATTTATTTGTATAAAAAAGTTGAATATCGAACTGAAACTTAAAGCTGTGAATAATATGTTAAATTAAGAACTCAACAATTATACTAAATTAATTATCCGAATAAAAAATGTTCATTTTTGCCAAAAATTTGACAAATCTGCAATAATAACTAAATAAATTGAAATGTAAGTAAAACATAATATAATATGTTCACACAAATTAAATATGTATGTATATTAATACATGTGTTCACACTAGAAGCTAATAGACTAATATAAGCAGTTCACACTGCTTTAAATGAAGCAAATCACATGATTTTTATTTATATGAGTAATAATTGAAAATTTAATGTTGCGAAATTCAACATTATCTCATTAAGATCACTCTTTAATACAAAATTGATTTTTATAGAATTGCATTTGGACTTTACTTCATTTATAGTTAGTTAGTTCATTTTAATAGTTTATTCGAAATAAATTTAGAATTCTTTTTTTTCATGAAAATTAACCGTCAATACCGTCAATAATTCATACTTCATAATTCATATCTTCATTAATTTTGACATTACAAATTAACTTAAATATAAAAAAAAAATTTAATTTTAATGAACAATAAATGAACATTTTTGATAATTAAATAAATGTGTGAGTATGCAATAGTATAAGTTTAAGCTCTTTAAATTTATAAGTGTCCATTGTAAAATTTATCAGGAATACCAAAAATAAATAATTTTTTACTGATACACGATTATATCAGTCATTACCGGAAATTACTAGTTAGAAATATTAACATAGTTAATATTCTATATATTCACTAATATGTTATATTTTGAAATAATATTAAAAATATTAATACTTATACTAAGTGTATAAACACTTAACTATAATATACTTAAAAATATATATAAGTATATTTAAACAGATAACTATATACTAAGTATAACATACTTATACTTAAAAGAACTACTACTACCACTATAACTACTCAAATATTTTTTATCTCTTTTCTAAGAATAAATTGAATCTTCTTATGCTATTATTGCTCATATAACAAGCATAAGCGAACTTAATTTTCACCAAGCGAAATTTTTGCCGCCAGTCAAGACCATTTGCATTATGCTTCGTCCTTAATGTAAAGTGTAAAGTATATAATATCAAACGAGTTGTACGAAGTATTTTCTTCACTTGAGCTAAATATTCGCTTGACTTATCCCTCCCCCACACTAAGCTTTAACTGTACTAGAATTATTATAATTTATTTATCTTTTAACTGATGACGGACCGCAAATCAACATATCTTTCTGTGCGTCCTGAGGTGGACTTAAGGTTTGTTAGGGCGGGGTTGGGCAACATATCAACTTTTGTGAATAATTCTAGGGGTCTGTCCTTGATATATTTTTTCATTGAGTCGATCCTTAGATCTCTATGCATGTCTGTTGTTCTAATATACCAAGAAATCTTAATTA